AATATGCACTGCACTAGTTTCACTAAAGGACAAGTGATGTCACAAAAAAAAAGCATCACAAATTTAGTAAAAAAAAAAAAAAACGAAAAAAAGTGTAAAAAATCAGAGTTCCACCCAAGCACTTAAAAACATTTTTGAGCCCAAACCCCACATACATACACCTACAAGCTTAGGGGTGCCTACATATGAAATGTTGATTTCTCATATTACATGTTACATATTGCCACGCATGACAGAGTGATAGCAATAATTCTAGGCCCATTATTCATGGTTAACTCTATACTGATGACCTGTAGAGGCTTTTAAAGTGTTGCCTATGGAATATATAGGGTACCAAAGTGTGTCGCCATTTCACGAGCATGTGCCATTTTAAAGCTTGACTTGTTGGATATCTATTTACTAAGCACAGCCTCATCTTTTATATTTTTCCAAAAACTGGGTCATATATTGCAACTATATGCCCTAAAATTAACTATAGTGTATTTTTTACTGAAAGTTTGTATTTTGTAAATTGTTGCGTTACCATCGTGGGACATAAAACATTGGAACTACCACTATTTCGATCTCTACGGTGTCTGCTTTCAGAAAATATATAATATATGGGGATTTTACATAATCTTCAGGCTTAAAATTATTTTTTAAACATGCGCAAAAAATTAAAAAATGCCTCTAGCAGTGGAAAGGTTAAAGGTCTTGTCAAAAACTGTGTGTGTCTGTTTGTTTACTACTGACATTTTTTCTGTATAACTTACCTACTGCATAAAAGTTACTCCATTAGGCCCCTTTCACATAGGCCAGATCCAGTTTTGCTCAGCAGGGTGTCTGTCTGCTGATCCCCTGCTGAGCTGAGCGGAACAGGTGGATGACAGTTCCGTGTCCAGTCCGCTTATGCAGAGCGGACATGGACACAGCCTGCTCTGCTCTATGGGCAGTTGGATGTAAATGTACCAGCTGTCTAGATCTAATCCAGCCAGATAGAGGGGAATAGATCTCCTTCCATTTGTATCTGCTGGATCAGATCGGACCAGAAGTAGCCGGATGTAAATGGACACAAGTCAGTTTACATCTGACTGCCCATAGAGAAGAATGAAGGGTCCAATAGGGTCTGATAGGGACAGGCAGACCCCATTGGACTGCTTGTGTGAAAAGGGACTTACACATCCTTCTAAATTATCCTGACACAGTATGAAGTATTATTTTCTTCTTCAGAGGCTGCAATTACCAAGACACTAGTAACCATATCTGGACACTACATTTTGTATCTTCCTTCTTCTCTAGATCTCCTTCCTAGCACTTCTCTAACTTGAAAACTAAAAATCCAACTCACTGATTAATTCAATTTATTGTCCAATCTGGCAGAATGCACAGTGAAATCAACTTTCCACACTAATTTCTCACTACAGTCAAACACAAAATTAACATTATTATGCTCTGCAAAAAATTAATTCTCTAAGGGACAATACATCTAATTTTTGTAACTTAATTTGGCAATCATGAATGGCCCATGCCAATAATCCTGGACTTTCTTACTCAATTTCCTTGTAACCTTTTACATTGTCGGAGATTTATAACAAGATTTATGTATATGTACCTAGCATTTATACTGTATTTATGAAACCACAACGCTTACCTATAACTTTCTCTGTTATAACAAGTTGTTCCATGGTCGCCTGCAGAGGGAATCTGACTGTAAAAGCTTTGTTTTAATGTGTTAAAATTCCTTATAATCCTTTTTGAACTTAAATACTTATGTTGAAAGGGTTAGTCTCCAATAAAATATACAGGACCTCTCCCAGATTAAATGAATTCCAGCTCCAAATGAATCTCCGATTACAACTTGTCTGTTCAGGTGTAGAACTCTAAGAGTGTCATTTATTTCAACATGGATGGACTTTACAAAGAGGGGTTTAGGAGATGGGGACACCTATAATATCCTAGGCAATGTCTCAGCTTGGTCACCTCTAGGGAATAATTTTACTGAAACTCCATATAAGGTTAATGATTAAAGCTTGCCCTTCCTCCTCCCACCTGATTCTATAAGGCAATAAACCCTCCCAACATACTGATGAGCCAGTAGGACAGGTGGGTATTGGAGGAAGAAGCCCAACTGTTGTCACTATCAAATGTCTTGAAAAATCCATATTACAGCATCCTCAATTTTTGGGGTACCCACTATACTGGAAACAGTCACAGGTATAAGCAGCAGTTGTACTCCCAAAGTCTTTTTGCTTATGTAAAATTGTTGAACAACCCATCTCTTTAGGGAAGCCTACCTCGCCCTCAGCTAATTTCCGATTGTCAAGGGTGCGGCATCAGACCCCAGCCCTTGTCACCAAACTCGTCACGGAAGGACTAGCCAATCTAAAACTGCGCTGTCACGTGTGTAACAATACCACGCCCAGCTGCACCCTGCACAAAGATTTTCCAGCTAATGGACTACAATCTATGTACCTGCAGCCTGGACGCTATTGTTACTGGGACGGGTTAATTACGCAATTAACCCCTTCACACTGCCACCACCTCCTTTTTGATCAGAGAAAGAGGAAACTCAGCAATACACTAGGATGATTGGTTAACCGTCAGTATTCCGCTATCTCTACAGACCGGTTATGCCGAGGGTTAAATACTCATAGTAGCGTTCTCTTTAGAGGCAGGGATTCGTAAATTGCAATACAGAGCTATAGAAACAGTTCAACACTTTTAGAAACTAAGATTTATTACCAAAAGGTTAAAAGGGTGCAGTACGAATATTTACAGAAAGAAGATGTAACCAATATATATATAAATATACAGAGCATAACAGCACAGCAAACAGATAACAGAAAGAAGTTTAGGAAAATAAGTACTTGCCAAATAAATGCCTGGGGTTAAGCAGCTTCAAGTTTCATGAGCTTCAGGTTGATTTGCTTCTTGTCTCTACTGCCAATTCCGTTGACTCATCGCAGGAGACTTTGCTTTCTGTCTGCAGATTTTGTATCGCAGACCGCTATATATCCCTCTAACTAACCTCAAGAAGAGAGAAAGCTCTCCTTATATAAGACAATCGCACTGGAATTTTCCTATCACGGCCAAACCAATACCTTATTTGACAAAAGGATTGTTAGGCAGGCTCAGCGTCATATGCCGTTGACTCATCGCAGGAGACTTTGCTTTCTGTCTGCAGATCTTGTATCGCAGACCGTTATATCCCTCTTTCTAACCTCAAGAAGAGAGAAAGCTCTCCTTATCTAAAACAATCGCACTGGAATTTTCCTATCACGGCCAAACCGATACCTTATTTGGCAAAAGGATTGTTAGGCAGGCTCAGCGTCATATGCTGCTTGCATTCCTGAGGGAGGGGAATGAGGAGATACATGAAACCTCCAGGTGCTTGCATAGGGGTTTAAGAGAAATACCCAAAATGTATAAGTTTGAGGCAAAATGGAGAACCGCACCTGGCACCTGTGGGCATGATTGTGACACCAATCTCCACTCTTCCTACCACTCCATCCCCCACAGCTATTTCCTCCTGTACCACTATCCCCTCCCTCCTAGATTGTAAGCTCCAAGGAGCAGGGCCCTTGAACCCCTCGTGTATTGAATTATATTGTTACTGTACTGTCTCGTGTACTGTCTCCCATTGTAATGTACAGCGCTGAGCGAACTGTTGGCGCTGTATAAATACTGCATAATAATAAATAATAATAATAATAAAAGGGGTGTTAACATAGTAAATTAAAAAAGGGGCCTTCCTTTTATGTGAATTGTATTTACAAAATCATCCTGGTTTCAAAAATGCTATATTAAATTAAATTAAATTAAATTAAATTAAAAACAAAAGATCCACCTAGTCTTCCATTTATGTTTATATTTGGATAAAAACATGCCCATTTTGCTAGAGTGTATCTAAACTTTAAAATACCAATTTTATACATTGCAGCTTACAGTCCTTAATTGTGTTGGCTGCATTAATTTTATTTTTGCAGGCTTTTTTTCCCTTTTATTAAACAAGTGTTCCTGGAACACAAGTGTTCCTGGAACACACATCTGGTCCTACCGTCTCGGTGCTTACAGAGGAGCGACATTGCTTCTCTTCTGATTTGGACTACAGACAGTGCCCCTTCTCTTCCTCTCCATTATATAGAAGTTTGTTGTTTATATACCTTTAGATAAGTTGGAAAGTAGATAACATTTATTGAGATTTCAGTTCCATGCACAGAACGGTACAAGGACACAAAATTTGCTACAGATGTTTTTGATTTTTTTCTGTATTTTCAGAAAATTGTCTTAGTCTGAAAAGGAGAACTAATGCAGCCCATCACAGGACTGCTAAGCTGCAATATATAAAAAATATATATTTTGGATTCAGATATACTTTAAGTACTTTTTGAGTTAAATTCAGTAACGCCCAAAAACTCTGGTTTGCCACGTTTTACTGCATGTTTCCGTGTTTACTAGCATTAGAGCATTTTTACAGCTAAAAAACTCCTCTAGAAACCCACTAATTCTGAGGGGGTTTTTCCAGCCAAAAAATGCCCCTGTCAAAAAATGCTGATGAAAGCCTATGTGTGCGTGGACACATAGGATAACTTGCTGGGGAGTTTACTGGCTGTAGAAAAAAAACGTCAAAAGCCAAAAACAGCAGCTGTAAAAATGTCCAGTATGCATGAGGACTTATACTGTATATTCTTAGACATTTTTTGTTTCTTTATTTTAGATGTGTGTTGTCTTGATTTTATCATTGTTACTATAAGGACCTGAGTACCTTATTTTATTACCTATAATTTTTTAGATGTTTTAGAATGACAATAAAAATGTCCTTATCTTTGGATCTCATATACATGTGCCCTTAATAACTTAAAAAAAAACAGTCCACTTCTGTAGACTTTTTTTTTTTTTTACAAAAATTAAGGTTTCAACAAAAGCAATAGCATGGTCCATTTGCATTTGTTTTTTCTTTAAAAAATGAAATGAGGTCATCAGGGGCGGACTGACAACTCATGGGGCCCCCTTGGCAATAGGGGATCCTTACCCAAACTCAAAAAAGCCTATGAAAAAGGTACCAGGGGCATCTTATGGGGCCCCCTACTGACCCTGGGCCCTCGGGCAGTGCCCGAGTTTCCAAATGGTCAGTCCGCCCCTGGAGGTCACTGCATTCCAAATGCAGGGGAAGGCATAGAAAATGGAAAATTAACTATCCATACTTACTGTGATTTCCTATTCCATAATAGCAACAATGGATAGCCTCTTCCCCCAGTCTACACTATTTCTTAACAATTAACACCATGTGCAAGCCTCCATGTTCCATAGCTAGCTTCTTATTGGGAGTATTTTGTGCTCTGAAAAAAAGCCCAAATAAAATGTTCTACTTCTGATGTTTTACAGTGATTCCACTTATTATTTGTTGTATGTACCTGTATGGCCAAAAATCTATAGTGTATTATTTATTCTACCAAAAACACACTGACACTGAAGCTGACACTAAATAAAAATTTTCTCTAATACTGCCAAAAACACACTGAGCCTGACCTTGACCCAACAGATTAAAATAGTTTCTCTAGTCTCAGATGTCCCTAGATGACACCACATCCTCTAAGGTTAGAGTTAAAGTAGAACTATAGGCAAAACTTTTTTTTTTTTTTTTTTTGGATAGAGTAAGGGAGGGTTATAACCACTGTCAGTAGTTTTTTTTTTGCCATCTGTTTCCCATTGGGGAGATTAACCTTCACTTCCCTATAAATTAAGGGAATCCATTGGACCCCCCAGGTCACGAGAACTAGTGACCACATTGGAACATTTCTCCTCTATTAGGGCAGCACAGTGGCTAAATGTTTAGCACTTCCACCTGGCAGTACTAGGGTCACTGGTTCAAATCCCGACCACGGCACCACCTGCCTGGGGTTTGCAGGTTCTCCCTGTGCATGTGTGGGTTTCCTCCCACTCTCCAAAGACATGCTGGTAGGCTAATTGGCTCCTGTCTAAATTGGCCCTGATATGTGTATGCATTGATGTGAGTTAGGGACCTTAGATTGTATGCTCCTTGAGGGTTAGGGACTGATGTGAATGTACAATATATATGTAAAAACGCTGCGTAAATTGACGGTGCTATATAAGTACCTGAAATAAATAACTAATATTACTGTTCTGAGGACAACCCAAAATTTAGGATTTTCTTTCACTTTCACGTTTGACGATAATGGTAAACAGGACAAATAGAGAAGGTGAATCTCCCTAATGGGGGCACAGGCAACATTAAAAACCTGACAAGCGACCCAATCCCCCTGCACTTTATCCAAAACTAAAAAAAAAAGTTTTTCCTTTAAGGTATACAGTACTTTAACTCTTTAACAAAAAACACAAGTTGAATCCAACACAGTTTTACTTCAGCTAATTGCAGTACAGATGATGTTTTTCCAATATTTTGTAAAGTCTAGCACTGACTGAGAGAACGTGGAAAAATTAAAATAGAGAAGATGAATCACTGAGGCAGAGGTATCATTAAAAACAGGTGTTCTAATCTATTTCCACTCAGTCCAAAACTAAAAAAAGTTAGTTATGCTTTAAATGTCTAGATAGCCTCATTAGGTTGGCATCAACCTTGGGAGGCGAACCTAAGTTTTTAACATATTCCTCATTGAGGGATTATAGCATTGAAATTTGATTACAGAAAAAGGGTTTTCTTTCCGCCTTACCCCATACTTATTAATTATTTCCTTGATTTAATTCATCAAAAGTAAGGCACACTACTCAGTTTAACTGTTTCATTCATTCTTATGTAGCACCCTCTTAGATAGGTTGCTAGGCAGTAGGGAAACTTAGTTTAGTAGAGTGGTAGTTAGCCCACTTTTGATGTGTATAGTCTTTGCACTTAGTTTTTCCCATGCTCTATACCCCTCCCCAGTTACAAGTTTTTCAGCATTAAAAAAACTCAAAAGACATGCCCTAGACTGGTTGCTGGGTCAGTGTGCATGGATCCGTTACTGCGTGTATGCTGGCAGTCTCTGCAAAATCAGGGAAGGAACCTTAGCCTTCATTATCATTTGTGCTGTTGCTACCAGGAAATGTGCATTAACATTTCACAGGATAGCAAAGGGCACAGCAGGGACAAACAGTTTGCAGAGTAGCAATGGGCACAGCACAAATACACAGTTCAAGGGGGTAACACTAGAAGAAAACACAAAAGGGCGCACTCTCCTCATACATTACTGTAATAAAAAATGATTTATTAAAAAATAGACAAATATATACTCACAAACCAAGGGTCATGTAAACAGACAAGGAACCAAAAAGGTAACAGACAATAGAGGTGTTATGACAGAGTATGCTAATGCGTTTCCGGAGTAGAACTCCCTTCCTCAGAGCTTCCAACTCCCGAAGCACGTTAACATACTCTGTCATAGGACCTCTATTGTCTGGGACTGTTACCTTTGGTTCCTTGTCTGTTTACATGACCCTTAGTTTGTGAGTATATATTTGTCTATTTTTTAATAAATCAGTTTTTATCACAGTAATGCATGAGGAGAATGTGCCCTTTTGTGTTTTCTTCTAGTGGTATCAAGATTCCCCAATCTTTAGAGGGCTGGACCTCAGCGAGTGACAGAAGCCATATTCCTGTGGTGCATGAAGACCTGAGCGCTGGTTTTGCTTTTTCTTGAGTTCAAGGGGTAACAATGAGCACAGCGCAGATAAACAGTTCTCAGAGCAGCAATGGGCACAGCAGGGCGAAACAGTTCACGGGGTAGGAATGGACACAGCACAGATAAACAGTTCAAGGGTAGCTATATGGCACAGAAAGGGGAGGTGATCCTCAGGGCAGTAGCAAGGGATAACAGTCCATGGAGTGGGAATATGGCACAGCAAAAGGGAAACAGTTCACAGGGCAACAATAGGGCACCGGGAGATAAGGGGCAGAAGGGTTAAAAAGAATCATGCTGCGGAAGTTCAACTGTCCTGAGTAGTGGATGTAGTGGTCTTTGCATCAGGGGATCCAGGCAGGGTGCTCTGAGGGGGACTGGGAGCACACAGCAAATTGGGCAGGCAGGGCAATCTTAGGAGGACTTCGAGCACACAGCAGAGAAGGCAGGCAGGGCAATCTTAGGAGGGCTCCAAGCACACAGTAGAGAGGGCAGGCAGGGCAATCTTAGGAGGGCTCCGAGCACACAGTAGAGAAGGCAGGCAGGGCAATCTTAGGAGGGCTCCGAGCACACAGTAGAGAGGGAAGGCAGGGCAATCTTAGGAGGGCTCCGAGCACACAGTAGAGAAGGCAGGCAGGGCAATCTTAGGAGGGTTCCGAGCACACAGTGGAGAGGGCAGGCAGGGCAATCTTAGGAGGTCTCCGGGCACACAGTAGAGAGGGCAGGCAGGGCAATCTTAGGAGGGCTCTGAGCACACAGTAGAGAGGGCAGGCAGGGCAATCTTAGGAGGGCTCCGAGCACACAGTAGAGAAGGCAGGCAGGGCAATCTTAGGAGGGTTCCGAGCACACAGTGGAGAGGGCAGGCAGGGCAATCTTAGGAGGGCTCCGGGCACACAGTAGAGAGGGCAGGCAGGGCAAATCTTAGGAGGGCTCCAGGCACACAGTAGAGAGGGCAGGCAGGGCAATCTTAGGAGGTCTCTGAGCACACAGCAAATTGGGCAGGCAGGGCAATCTTAGGAGGGCTCCGAGCACACAGTAGAGAGGGCAGGGAGGGCAATCTTAGGAGGGCTCCGAGCACACAGTAGAGAAGGCAGGCAGGGCAATCTTAGGAGGGCTCCGAGCACACAGTAGAGAGGGCAGGCAGGGCAATCTTAGGAGGGCTCCGAGCACACAGTAGAGAGGGCAGGCAGAGCAATCTTAGGAGGGCTCTGAGCACACAGTAGAGAGGGCAGGCAGGGCAATCTTAGGAGGGCTCTGAGCAGACAGTAGAGAGGGCAGGCAGGGAAATCTGAGGAGGGCTCTGGGCACACAGCAGAGAAGGCAGGCAGAGAAATCTGAGGAGGGCTCTGAGCACACAGCAGTCTTGGGCCCCCATCGGTTTGGACAGCAAGGCCATACGGAATTACAAGTTCCAGCAGTGCCAGTGTTCAAAAGGTTGTACACAGTCTGTACTGACCAATCAGACTCAGCAGTTCTAAGCATGTTCTTTCAGCGAGGCATGCAGCCATCAGCTACTCTGTGTCCATCACGGGATTAAACTCAGAAAAGTCTGCCACTCATTTTTGCTACCTGGTACTTTGAGTGCAGCCAGAGATCTCAGCTACAATCTGTTGGTGTCTGGTCATCCTGGTACAAAATTCAGTGAATTCTGTATCTCCTGCTGAGAAAGACGGCCTAACTCCAGACTTTCTGTGTGGTCAAAGGAACGCACTAATCAATTATGTAGATCAGCTAACTTATGTACATACTGCTTTTCATTTAGGTTCATGTAACAAATGTTCTTTTTAGAGGTTTTTTTCTCATTGCCCACAGTGTCCACTGTGTGCGCGTATAGATTTTGCAGTAGCTTAGGAGAAGCCACATGAACCAATGAAGACACTGTCTGATATCTAGTAGAGGAAGGCATAAATGACTGCTTTGCTATATCCCCAGCTTACCCCCTGCCTCCTGGCAAACCCATGCATGCACAGAATGGTGGAAGGGAAACAGTGGAATGCAGAAAGCCTCACAGTGTTCTCACTCCCCACTAAGATCAAAATATGCAAGCACCAGCCAGAAATGCAAGTGAGAAATGCAGGGATGAGCATAGTGGGGGAGTAGGGCTGGGAAAGCATAGCCATACACGCCACGTGCTTTACCTTTGGTCAGCCATATGGGGGCCAATGCTCAATGATTAAGCAGTGGCCATGAATTTAGCACAGCGAGGTAATGGTAGCACTGCAGTGTGTTGAAAAAACATTACAGGGCATTAATTCATTAGAATAAATGTCCTATGTGGTAGCAGAGAATTACCATTGTTGCTGCTATGTAAAGATGTGTTTTGCAGGACTGCCCAGTCTAAATGACCAAAACTGAATTAAAAATAAACAGGTCTCAACATTTATATGACCTTGACTTAAAGTGTTACCAAACCCACAACAGTAAAATCAGTCTGTATATGCAGTAAAGCATGCTTGTTATACTCACTGTGGAACCTAA